AGTGTTCTGGAATACCCAATTCTCCGCAATGGTGTTCATAGCTTGTCATGACGCACACAGTCAAGTTTCCCACACTTGAGGGGTCTAAAAGTGTAAATTCAGGGTGTTGGTTCCATTAGAAGCCTTTCTCTATTGCTTCATGGTTTAGGAGGAAGATTCTTGGTTCCACATCTGTGGGCCCAGTGTTCTTTGGAGATCTCCAAATTTCTTCCCATGAATCTAGGAGGTTCTCAACATGGGGAACCTGGGCACTCAGAATACGTTCCACTCCTGGGTCTTGTTTCTTGGTGGTACAGAGGTCCTTCTTTCTCTGTTTGCTTTGTCTCCTTCACTCCTTTGATCTCTTGTGAGATAAGAAATGATGTCATATCCCTTACACCAGGTCCAGGCTGGGACCTAAGTAAGGGACTGTCCGATGACATCAGATGACATCATGGGGAAGAGCACCTTGTTACAGACCGGCCACACCAAATGACATAACTATCAACTGGAGAATCATAGCCCAGGGAAGTTCACACACACACACACACACACACACACACACACACACACAAACACACACATATTTGGGACGGGGTGGGGACACATCCAATCGATGACTGTCACTGTGAGTTGGAGTTGGCTTGATGGCCATGGATTCTTAGGGTTGTGAAGGATGGGGAGATCGCAAGTGATGCTTTGGGGTACGGCATTTTCCTCTGAGGGTAACAGGAAAGCACTGAATTGTACATGAATGGGGTGAATCCGATGGTATGAGAATTGTAGCTCAATAAAATTAACATCTGAAAATGTACCCAGTCTGGCTCTTCCCTGTCCACAACAGTGGCCAGCAGGTCATCCAAAGCAATTGTCCCCGGGCAGCACTGGCTACTTCAGGTGACCACAGTCACTCATGACTTCCCAGGCTTCCTTTGGGAGCCAGCTTCCAGCAAAGCTCTCAAAGTTGCAGTGACAACGAGACACCCAGATGTCCCAGCCTAGCTGGGTGGGCTGCTGGACCCTTTTCTTGGATCGGGTGGTTTTCTGGTTCATCATTCACAAGGCATCTCCTAGAGTTTGTTTTAAACAAAAACGTTTGTGAGTTGGGTGAAGATTTACAGAGCCCATCAGTCTCCCAGGCAACAATGCATGCCTGTTCTGTGTCTTCTCATTGGATAGCAGTTTCCACATTGTAACATTCTTCCAACTTCCTCCCTGTGCTTCCGGTATCCATTCCACCTTCCTCCTAACCCTTCCGAAATTTCTCCTGGGGCCCATGCTGTCTGTGGGGCTCATCCTCAGGTAGTTTCTATTCGTGTATGATAGCGGGGGCTCTGACATCACAGCCTCTCTGGATCTGCTCCAAGGAGGTCCTGAGTCTGCAGTGCCCTCACCACTGTAAGACCTGGGCAGTGGAGAGGAGCTGCTTTGCCCCTCCACCTGGGGCTCCTGCGGAGGACAGGGACCTGGTGGAGGAGTGACAGACAGGGAAGAAGGCCTGTTGAGTCCATTAGCCACTCTGCTGAGCCAGGAGATAGGACACCCAGTGTGGGGCCAGAGCAGAGGCCGAGCACAGGAGGACAGTGATCTTTTCCCATGGGGGTGACCAGTTTTCTAGTCTTGGGCCTCTTGGGGCTGGGATGATGGTCAGGTGAGGGGCACTCCAGGGACAAAGCTACTGGTTGGAGGAGAGGCAGTGTCTCAGGTGGGGAATGAGGAGCAGTGCCTGGAGGGGGTGGGGTGGGGATGTTCTGCCCCCTCCCGCCTCACAGGGGCAGCTCTGCCCTGGCGTGGCACTGCGGTGGCCACTCACCTTTTCATCACCGAGCTGGCTCTTGTCCAGTAGAGCCCAGAGCTCCGTTCGGAACCCGGAAAGCTGTGTCGTCCACACCCTCCCCTGCCATATAGCTCTTCCCTCAGTCCCTCGAGCAAAGTAAACAGAACCCCAGTCGTGGTGGGGCAGTTTAAGAGGTGGATCCCACCCTTTCAGCTTTCCTCTGTGGCCCTCCGAGTTGTTGATGGGGCAGCGCTCCTGGGGGTCCTCTCCTATCATCCATGTCTATCCCTGTCTGAGGCTCACTGCTGGGTACCTGGGCTGATGACCACTGCCCAGTTGATGTCCAGGCTGGAAGCACACTGGTTCACATGGAGGAGAGAAAAGTGAGCCCCTCGGTGGACCAGCTGACACAAAGGGGCACATGTTGCAATGGCCATGTTCTGCGTTTGTGATAGAAGGGGAAACTGAGTCACTGAAGACCATTCATGAGTACCCTTGGCTCTGTGAGGCACGGGCGGCCCCCCAAATCCTGGTATCCAACAGCAAACTTCAAGATGGGGAGTGGGCCTGGGGTGGGAGGGGCATCAACAGTCCTCAATCTGAGTGTGACTCGGGGGTGCCTGACCTGGAGGCCCACTTCCTTCAGACTAGCATTCTCTGTCCACCTACTCCTCGGCCTCCCTCTGCCTGGCCCCCACGGTCTGCTCTTGTTAGCAGTGACCCCATCACTCATTGAAGGCTGGAGCTTGGAGGCGACGGGGAGCCTCCATACCTGCCAGCAGGAGGCTGTACAAGGTCAGGGGACAGGTGTGGAGACCAGTTAGGAAGGCCAGTAGATCCTATGGGGCCTTGGACCCCATCACAGTGAAGGGGTGTAGTGTGGGGGCGCAGCTGTGACCCTCCCCTTGGGGGCTGCCGCCTGCTCTGTGGTGAGCAGCCTCTTGGGCTTCTTCAGAGACACCTGGCTACTCGGAGGCTGGCCAGGCAGTGGGCCCAAGAGGCCACCCAACAGAGCCTTGTGCCTCTTGAGGCCAGTGAGCATTGGCAGAGGAACAAGGCTGGGGGCAGGAGACGCATTAGGGACCCTGGGGTCTGGGGTCGTGGGCTCCTGTGAAGGCTGGAGAGGGAGGGGGCAGTGCCTCCCACCTGGCACACTGGGTCTCTGTCTCCCACAGGCAGCGTGGGTCAGGGCTGGGGCGCCTGAAGCTGGCAGGCTGCATTGGAAAGGCCTTGGTGAATGAAGGATGGCCTCCCCTCCCCCGGCCTTGGTCCATGAATTATTTCTTAAAGGAAAACCCATGGCCCGGCCCCCCACCCCGGCTCCACTTCCTGGCCTTCCGAGGACTTTCAGTCAACCTTGAAGGACGCCAGCCTCCCCCTCTGTTAGCTTGGGGGAGGGATGGCCCTGGAGTGGGGTCGGAGGTCACCCCGCCTCCCTGTGGGCCTCACTCAGACCACCACAGGGCAGTGGTCTGGAACAGGGATCTGAACCCAGGAGGGGCAGCGGGGGGTGGGGAGTAAGGGTGGGGGGGAAGGAGCCCAGGAGGCCGTCAGTGAGGTTCTGTGGCTCTGATTCCTCTGGGGTTCCATCGAGGTAGCGTCTCGTCACAGTAAGCAAGCTGCTCTGGCTGGACCCACACTGACAGACACACACACATTCACAACACACGTACACCACAAACACAACCACACATCCACACACACAAAGATTCGCATAGTCACAAAACGCGTACACCACAAACATACCCGTACCCACACACCTTCACAACATGTGTACACCCCAAACACACACACCCCACACACTCACGTGTCCACATGTCCACACATACTCCCCCTTACGTGAGGTAGGGGCTCCCATTGTTCTAGATTGGCTCTTCAACAGTGAGGGGGTCACCATGGTGCTGGCTTCTCAGTGCCCCCCACACTGCCCCGGGGAGCCCCCATGCCAATCACCCGCCTCTTCTCAGCCACTCCATCCTGTACTTGCACCCCGTTGGGGAATGTCACCCCCGGGGATGCTCAGGGGTGGCCGCTGCCATCTGTCTTCCCACCCCACGGAAGACTCCGAGCTCAGACCTCCCCAGGTCTCAGTGCCTTGGCCTCAACCCGGGCCCTAGCCACCTTGTGAGTGCCACCTTGGTGCCCTGCAGTGTGGCTGAGCTTAGTGGGGGCCCCCCACCCCTCCCCAGTCCGAGGGCAGCCGGAGGGCTTCCCCACAGCAAGCAGAGCAGAAAGCAATCAGCGCCCACCCTTTGCACTGAGGGCCTCTGTTGTGAAGGGGTGAAGTGACCAATCGAGGTCCCCACAGACCTCCAACATCCTGCTGCCTCGTGTCCAGAGGCCCCAGACCATGCTTCCGGGGTTCAGTTCCAGGGACGGGTGGCAGCAGGAAGAAGGAAAGAGGGCCTGAGAGACACATGCGGAGTGTACCACAGAGTGCACCGCACCGCACCACCTAACCAGCCGTCCCATGCTCTGGAAAGGACAAAACTCGAGGGCACTGGTTTGCAGGACGCTGTCCTGGTGGCCATGTGACCCGGTGTGTCTGTGGAGGGCTCCGTGGACTCTAGCGGGTCCCTCTGTATCTACAGTAACACTGCGTGGGGCTGGGAGCACACTGTGTGGTTTTCTGTAAACCCAAAACTGCTCTGAGGAGAAAGGGTTATTAATGTACAAAAACTAAACAAAGGCAGACTGAGGGGACAGAGGCCGGGCTTCTGGAGAGGGGGCGCCAGGCCCGGCCGGGGACCCAGTGTGAATGGCGGGGGTCGGGGTTCCGATGGCGGCTGCAGTTCACCGGGCTCCTCAGAAAAGCTGACTCAGCCCCTGGAGGTGGAGAGGGGCCCTCGCCAAGAGTGAGCCCTGGGAAGGGGACGCGGCTGTGGACCGGGCCTGGCCACAGGCCTCCAAGCCCACGGCTGTGTCATGGACTCACTGGCTCCACCCTCAAGGTCTCAGCCTCCAGGGCTGGCTTTCACTGTGACCAGACTTGTTCACACAGAGCCCATCCTCCCTGGACCCCAGGCCTTTGTGGGGGCCTGTCACTGTCCACCCCCACCCCCCCACCTAGAACAGGAATTCCCTGAGCTCTGTCCTGGGCTGCCGTGCTCACCAGAGTCCCTTAGCTCTGCTATGGGGGGACAGAGGCCCAGTGTCGACCAGTGTGAACCAAAGGACCCAGAGATGGATGCTTGTCTCTGTAGCAGGGTGTTTATTAGGGAGTCTGGGCGCGTTGGTGTCCCCCTCACAAACCGAACCAGGAGGGGACCCCGCCACGCCGGGGGTCACTGCTCTGCCTCTGCTGAGCCTCCGCCAGAAGCTGTTCTTGGGAGTCCACGTCTGCGCTGCCCTCAGAACACGGGGGCTTTTCAGGAAACAGGTCGGGGAACGTGAAGGTCTGTCCATGAGCCTAGGGCAGGGACAGGAGCTGCTGAGTCCCACAGCCCCCCTCCCTGAGTCTTTCTCTGACAAGACAGACAGACAGTGCTTCCTCTCGTGCACCCTTCAGGGCCATGCTAAAGCCTCGGCTGTTTGGACGCAGCCTGCTGGGGGCCATTGCCCGACCCCTGTCTGCCTGAACAACAGGCCTCGGCTCTTATCTGGCGGCAGGAAACCCTTCCTCCACACAGCTCCCCCAGTGCAGGGAGACCACCAAGGAGACCTTAGACCTCTCCCTACCGCAAGCTGGAGGCCCTGGAAGAACCGCACACAACAAAGGCCACCTCAGCGGTCTAAGAGAGAAGGCTGCACCCCCACCGTTAGTTCAGGACTGGACATGTGGAGATAGCCGCCTGGTCACCTTAAAGGGGTCTACATAGACACAAGTCAAGCTGCCCTTTCGTCTGTAAATGCCCCCTCTTGACCTCTGGACAGGCAGGGAGAGGCCGCCCGGCTGGGGAAAGTTTTACTAAGTCTGATCAGGAACTTGGGGCTGGCTCTCAGAGCCCCCCGTGTGTGGGCAGGCGGCCAAGGCTGATGCTGCTCCCGCGGTGAGGGGTGTGGGGCTGCCGGAGAAAGGCAGGGGCCGCCTGCTCAGGGCTGGGGGCTGCTTTACACACAGCCACGTCTGTAGCCTCCTCTTTGAAAATACCAAAGGGCGGCCGTGGACATGGGGGGTGGGAGGAGCGCAGTGCCACTGAAGATGACCATCTACAATGTGGGGAGCCTGGAGGGCCCGAGGGAGAGGCAGCTTTGTCAGGGTGCTTGGGCAGCCCCAGGATGGTTCCCAGGAAAGGGACAGGCTGGTTAGTAGCAAGCAGGAAGAAATGGGGGATAAAATCCCAATAAAAAGCCAAAGCCCAATTTCAGCTCTCGGCGTCGTTCGCATTGGTCTTTCCGGCTTGTGTCTGTACCCCGCCTGGATGTGATGCAGTCTGTTCTCAGACCTGCAGCCACCCGCCTGTTGTCAAGCAGGGTTGTGGGTCAGGCTGGCTGCTGTGGGCAGCCCCAGGCCAGAGGTCAAAGCTCCTTTGTTATTTGGGTACGTCTTTGGGGCCCTAGATGTTTCTAGGGGAAAACTGGGAGGTTCCCAGGATGCAGAGGCGAGTACATCTCTCAGCAGCAGACAACTTAAAATCAATGCGATCATGCAATTTGTGCTTGGGCTGGCCCACTCAGGGGTCCCTGAACACCAACCCTGAGGGGACCCTCCCTGGACACGGGGCCCACAGCTTCAGGGCAGTTCCAAGGTGGGGTGTGTGTGAGTGGGAGCTTGACTGTACCCAGGGCCTGGTTTCCCCGGGCAGCTGCAGGCTTCCCCTCGCCTGGGCCTCTTCAGGTCAGCTTTCACGGCTGAGGTGGGGCCCTGAGAAAAGTGCAGGGGCTCAGATGACTCCAAAGTGACTTGTAACTGTAGCCTACCTCCTGAAGGGGCTGGTGGCGGGTACCGACACGCGGGCGTCAACCCGCATGCCGCACTGGGGACAGATGGCGGCTGATTTCACGCCAGGACACACAGGTCTTTATATGGTCAGGGGCCGCGCCTGGTGCTCAGATTGGCTGGTTTGAAGCCCAGCAGATATTGGGCCAAATAATCAGGGAGCCCCTGTTTAGAACAAGTGTGACGATTTTCCAGAGACCGTGTCCCCATAGCAAGCTTTCCACAAATGGCCTTCTCACTCCCAGACTCGGGTTGGGCCGTGGGGGCAGCTTCCCAATAACGGCACTGCCATCTAGTGGTCAGTATGGGGCCCACCCTGCCTTTTAGACGCTGTGCAACCCCAGGCCGGCCCCAAGGGACCAACGGCCTTGCTGAGGGGCCAAGGAGAGTGATAGCGGTCTTGACCCCACCTTGGACTCCAAGTGCCGAACTTGGGCATGAGCTTGGTGACGTGGGTCTTAGCCAAGGCCCCTTGCTCACTGCCAGGCAGTCGGTTCCAAGCTGGCTTAGCAGTGCCAGGCTGTGGCCAGGGCTCCTCAGGGACCCTGTTGTTGTTAAGCTGGTACCGACTCACAGTGACCCTGTATAAGATTTCTGAGGAGCGGCTGGGCTTGAACCGCTGACCTTACACCTGAGAGCCCCCCACCCTGAGTCAGCACCGAGTGATGACTTTCTGCTGATCCTTGGGGGCGCCCCAAGGGGCTGCGTCTACAGGCCTTGGGTCTCCAAGCTCCAGTCTCTCACCAGCTGCACATAGGCGACCTTATAGTCCGGCTTCTTCACTCTCACGCGTTTGTAGTCCCGCTTCTTGTTGGATCCTGGAGAGAGGGGAGCTCTGAGCAGGACTCGCTTGGGAAGACCCCGTTAAGAGAACAGTGTCCTCAGCATCACGTGGCCCCGAGACATCAGAACCCCCAGAGCTGGGCTGCAAGAGGGGTGTGGCTCTCAGGAGGGGGCACAGAGCAGTAGTAGAGGAACCAGGCACCATGGTTGGGGTCCCCGCCTCCCAGGCAGAGGGGCTAGAGGTCTTGGGAGGTGGTGGGTTGTGGGGACTGGCTGAAGTGTATTAAAGTGACTAAGGGGCTCCACATCCGTGTGGCCCTGGGCAGGCGACTCCCATCCGTGCCTTAGTTTTCCCCGTGCCTGCCAGACCACATACTCACCATGTTGTACCCGCGTCCGCACGGCCGCCACGGGCACTTGGTAGATGCTTTCCAGGTAGTTTCTGAGGTCCACCCTGGTCATCCTGAAAGGAGAGGTACCCCACCCACTCTGCGTTCCTGCCTACCTGAACACACATACACGCCTAGGGCTGTCCACCTCCTATGAGCCACCAGGCTTGACTCCACGAGGCTCAGGGTCTCTGTCTGTCAGACTCGGTGAGCAAGCCCACCAGGACCCGGTCTGTCCTCATGCTTAGAGGCCGCAGGGTATGGGCTCTTGTCTACAAACATCCTCCACAGTTCCCCTCACATGGAGAGGGGGGGCCCTCTCACAATGCAGTGGGCTGCACGCAGGAAGGGCTCTGGTGGACTGAAACTCAGCTTGCGTCCCCGGCCTCCGGGAGACGGATGCACGGCCAGAAGATTCCAGAAGAATCTGCTGCTTTGCTGATTTGATGGAAGCCCCCAGTGGAGGAAACACAGGGCCATGAGCCAGGTGCCCCAAGGGGCTACGAGGCCACACCCATGAAGATCTGCTGAGCAGGAACCCTCCCTTTGAGTGTGTGCCCCCCACTTACTCCATGGGGATCCGGAACTGCACAGTGTTCTCAGGTTGGGCCACACCGGGCCGCACCAGCTGAACGAAGAAGTTGGTTCGGAAGACACGGAGTTGAGGGCCTCCCAACTGGTAGAGCGGGTACCTGTGAAGGAGGTCGTGTGCAAGAGACGCTCAGAATGCTGGACCCCATTGTCCCCCGAGTCCATGATCCGAGTGTGGTGGGGAGCACCCACTGGGATCAGGCCTGCCTCCCCTTGGGTGGTGATGTTTCAGGCCCAAGGGAAGGTGGCCACAGGGGACTCACACCTCCCCCTGGTGCCCGCCCGCAGCACTGCAGGGAATGGACAGCGTGGAAGACATTCAGGAACTGTGGACAGGGATGAAGTCCCTCTTAAGTCTCTGGACTTGGCGTTTGAGGTTCAAGGCCTAAGTGGGCTGCCGAGGAAGGCTCAGTTTGGGGGTCTGTAGCGCTGGCTGGCTGCCAGGAGGGGCTGGAGTCTGTCCTTCCTGAAATCTCTGGCTCCAGTTCTGGTTCTGACCCACCACACTGCTGATTTCTCCTGCTGGCCTTTTCTTCAGGGTCTGTTCCACCTGGTGGGGCAGGCCCCTCTCCCTCTTTTCAGGGGAGCACAGAGATCCTTTCCCACAGACCCACCAACCCCCTAGCCTGAGGTTTCACCCATTCCTTCGGCGCCAACTGCCCCCTGGGTATTTCCTAGGCCCCTCCAACTTCACTATCTGCAGTGAAGCTCCTTCCTGCTCTTACCCTCTCCTCTTCTCTCCCAACACACCCTGGCTTTCTGCCAGCCACCCGAACTCCCCGGGCCCCACCTCGCCCACATCCCACCCCAGAGCAAGTCCCATCAGCCCCCTCCAAAGCTGTGCTGGAGAACAGCCGGGAGGGGGAGGGAAGCCACACCTCCTCCCTGCTCCCTCTTCCACCTCTCACTGCTGAGGGGCCCCTGGGCCTCTCAGAGGGTCCAGCCTGTCAAGATCCCAGTAAGCACTAGACCCCACCTAACCCTCAGCACAGGACAAATGTTTGCTGAGGGCGGTCCAGGGGTCTGCACACCTCCACCTGCCCCCGGCAGCCTTTGCCCCGCCCCTGCTGCCACCTCAGCTCAGCACAGGGGCCCCACAATTCACAGTCTAAGTACCCACTGGGCACCGAGTCATGGATGAACCCACGAAGCACACCCCAAACCTCACTCCACAGCACTCCCCAAATCTACTCAATATCTAACTATTCACCCAGAGATACCAAGTGGTCCCTGATTAAACCCCAGGGCAGACTGAACAAGACAGGGAGCTTTCTTCTCCACCATCTCTCCTAGAGTGGCACCGGGCTGCAAACCACAAGGTTGGGAGTTCAAACCTACCAGCTGCTCCTTGGAAACTCGGAGATAGAATTGAATAACTACAGTCCCTCATGGTACTGCCCAAGACAAGCAGTGAATCTAGGGCAGGGATCAAGGGTTGAGCTGGGCCTGTTGTTGTAAAGTGTTATCAAGTCGGTTCCGACTCAGCAACCATCCTAAGAGCAGCTGGTGAGCTTGAACCTCCAACCTTGAGGTTCAAACCGACCTTGCAGTCCAGTGCATTAACCCACTGCGGCTGAAACACCTAAATTCCCACTGCCATCAAGCTGATTCTGACTCATAGCCACTTTGTATAGGGCTTTCGGAGACCAGAAATCTTTATGGGAACACACAGCCTCACACGTTCCTGAAGGGCGGCTGATAGGTTTGAACTGCCAACCTGAAGTTAGCAGTCTTTGGGCTCAACACAATCTTACCAAAAAAGAAAACGTAGGGCCATCGAGTCGGTTCCGACTCACAGGGACACTGTGTAGGGTTTCGAGGCTGCAAACTTTTACTGGGGGGGGGGGGGGGGGGGCCCGGCTGCCTCTTCTTTCTCCCGCAGAGCGGCTGGTGGGCCCGAACCACCAATCTTTGGCTAGTAGCCGGGCCTTTAACTTGCCCTCCCCCAAGTCCCCCTGTTCTTGACCCATCTAGTCCCAGTACGTCTGGGCTTTGGTGGGGCCGCTGACATTTGGGGTGCGTCTTTATGCTGGGGGGGCTTGCTACTCATGTGGGGTGTTCGGCAGTACCCCCGCCCACCCGCGCCAGCGTGCAAACCAAGAGTCTGCGGACACTGCCACGTGTCGGCCGCCGTGGGCCACGGAGGGTGGTCACCGCCCAGTGCCGGCCTCTTCGCCCGCCCCCAGCCCCCAGCCCCCAGCCCCGGGGCCTGCCCCATGGCCGCGCTGCCCCAGGCCCGGGTCGCCCCACGGCCCCCTCTCCAGTGCCCTCCCCGCGCCGGGCACCCCGTCTGCGCGCGTGCTTGTGCCACTGGAGGGGGGTGTTGCTGGGGGACGGAGGAGGGTCGGGGGCGCGCCGACGGCCACGCGGGCGGGGGCTGTACTCACAGCACGTTCCGCGCCATGGCGACCACTTCCGGCCCGACTGCGCGCGGGAGAGCGGCACCCGCCCGGCCGCTGGCGCAGCGCCCCCTGGCTCCCGGGAGGCTGAGCGCAGACAGGCCGGCGCCCTCCGCACACTGCCCGCGCCCCACGCCGCCCGCGCCCCCGATCCGCCCAGGCCCCACGCCGCAAAGCCAGCACACCTCTGCACGTCCCCGCACCCCTCAGACCACGGCTATGCACTAGCGTACATTCTGCCCAGTTCTCGCACGCACTCTCCACTCCACGTCCACGAACCCACTCCCTGAGGATCCCTGATGGTGGGGCGCAGCAGGGCAGAGCTTGTCCAGGGTCCTAGGCCGCCCCTCCCTCTGTCTGCCCCTTTCCAGAACTCCATGGCCCCCTCTCCTCTCCTGCCCACCCAACCCCTCTGTCTCCTCCGTTCCCCTCTCCCACGACCCCCCAACCATGTTCTCTCTTGGAGGAGGCTGCTTGCTCCCCACCTCTCTCCAGGCCTGGCCCCTGGAGCCTGGCAAGGCCATCCCTCAGGGGTCTCCTTTGGTAGGGCCTGTCTTAGCCCAGTGGACCTGGACCTCGCCTTGGACCTGACCTGCATGCTCACTCCACCGGCCTGTCCTCTACCCACCCTTGTTCAGTGTTCAGCCTCTGTCTCCCTATCACACTGACTTGTGCCTCTTTGCCCCCCCAGAGCTGGGGAGGAGAGGGAATAGGGAATCAGGGGAACTACAGGAGGGACAGGCCCTGAGGGGGGTCACTGAAAGTCCAGGTAGGGTCAAAGCCAGAAACGGGCAGCACCTGGTACTGGGGACAGAGAGCCTGGGAGGGGTATGCAGGTCTGAGGTAGCTGGGGCCATGGGGACTTTCTGTTGTCCATGTAACATGGGTGTGTTGAACAAGGGGACCCTCTGTTCCCCACTTAGAGAAAAGGGAGAGTGGTCACTGCAGAGGGGAAAGCTGCGACCCTGGGGGACAGTCTTTCTGCTGAGGAAGAAGTGGGTGTCCAGCCCAAGGCCGCGGGCTCCAAGGTCAGGGGGTTAGCTGCAAACCAGATGGCGGTGTGAAGGGGTCCAGCTGGGGAGGGCATGATACACACGGCTGTACCAGATCAGATGAGGCTCCTGACCCAGAGAAACAGGGTGGTGTGGAGCGGAAGGGGTCACAGAGTACAGGGCTGGGGCTCAGGGGGTGCTAGGTTGCTCTTGTGTATTTCGCTGACTCTGTCCTTGGCTGCTTTCTGATCTGAAGGCAGGATGTGGTTGTAGCAAAGATCGGGTTCAAGGTTGTGTGGCTAATGGGGCTGCTGAGAGGGGAGGGAAAAGGAAGGCCCTAAGCTGGGGACAAGGAGCTCTTGGAGCTTAGCGGTTATGAGTCGGGCTACCGCTCACCTCAGGGTCAGCAGTTTGAAACTACCAGCCATTCTGGGGAAGAAAGATGAGGCTTTCTGCTCTGGTAAAGATTTACAGCCTTGGAAACCTTATGAAGGATCAATATGAGTCAGAACCAACTCCACGGCACACCACCACCACCACGCTGGGCGTTGAGGCTCTTGATGAGGGAGGGGGTCTCATACCAGACCCCTGGCACTCGCCCTCCCTGCCCTGGCTCTGTGTTTACTTACTGGGGCTGACCCATAGCTCACAGAAAGACAATGGTGGTTCTTCTCTCTGCCTGCGCCACCCCCTCCTCCATTACGCAGGAATTCCAGCCTCTGCCTTCTGCCTTTTCCTGCTGTAAACAGCCCGCTGGACTCCACAGGGCCAAGGCTGCTGGCCTCCCAGGACCCCCGCTTAAATCAGACTTTCAGATAAACAACGAATCTGCTTTCTAGTTAAAAGATGGCTTAGGAGTATTTGGGATATACTTTTAAATGTTTACATGCATTTTTAATTGTTAGATCTGGCCACCTAGCGGAGGGCCCTACCAGGCACCCGTGCAGGGTTACTGCTGGGGAGTCCTCGGTGGGCAGTTCAGGAGGCCTCCTGCACAGAGCTGATGAGGAGGGCTTTGTTCCCAGAGCAGGGAGCACTAGGGTTTTTTATATAAGAACCGCAGGGTTAGCCACATCTTCAGGCCACAGTGAGGATCAGGCTTGGAAACTGGGGGACTCAGAGTGGGACAAGCCCCACCATGGCTCAGGGGCAGGAGAGGAGCTTTCATTCACTCTGCAGATTCAGGAATTACCTGTTTCCCAAGGGTTCTTAGTGCTGGGGAGCCCACCCAGAGCCAGGCAGATAACATCCCAGTCTGCTTGGAGCAGCCTTCCCAGAGATCAGGCAAGCTAGACTCCCACATTCAATACCTTAGACACACACTGAGCAAAGGTGAGAAAGGAATAGCATCTGCAAGGGGGAATGGTGTCTCTGTGTGTGCCTGTCCCAGGCCACTTGGGCAGCCTGTGCAAATGCCTGGAGGCCCCCATGCTGTCTGCTCAGAGGGAGGGGGCCGGAGTGTCTGGAGCAGGGCCCCTCCTCTCCTGAGTTCTTCCAGGAGTGAGCCCCCCTCAGGTGCTCAGGTCCTGAGGTGTGAAGGCTGACCCCTGAGGTGCTAGGAGCAGGGTTCTGGGCAGAGAGGTGTTGCAGTTCAGAACATGCTCAGGGGGTCTGGCAGGGAGGAGGAGTGGGTGGAGACTGCATAGTAGGTGACAGAGAAATGTCCTGCATTACCTCTCCTGGTTGGCACACGTGATTTGTAACTGCTCCGTAATGCTGCCGTCCTGGTTTCATGTTAATTTCTGCTAGATGACCCAGGCATATAGGATGCTGGTTGCTACAGGTGTGGACAGCCATGACCAGTGTGTGAAGGTGTGGAGTTCATCAGCGGCAAAGGTGGCACCGTGGAGGTGCTTCCTAACTCGTTTTCTTTGTACACACTTGCCTCCTGAATGTGCAAGACTAGAGAGAACCAGAATATTCTAGAAGAGTATGGGGATGTTGGGTCCTTGCCTCAGGGGCTCCACCAGAACACAGGCTAACAAGCAAAGTCTGCTTCTAACCAAGGCCTGTGTGGCTTCAGGCACCCCACCCTGAACCTCTCTGGGTTGCATTGTATCTGCAGAAAGCTCTAGCCCATGTACCTGCCAACGTGAACTTGTTTTGAAATAGTCTTTGAAGATGCTATCAGTTCACATTCGGTCATGCTGGGGTAGGGTGGGTCCTGATCTTACACGAGTCGTGTCCTTTTTAAAGAGGAGACATGGCCACAGAGGGCAGACAGAGACAGACATCGGGATGAATTCAGACTCCTAGCCTGGGAAACTCAGGATGAACAATTCTGTTCTTACAAGCACCAATAGTTTGGACCAGCAGACCCAGGACACTAACACCTGTGAGTGAGTGTCAGGCTGACCTTGGAGGTCAAGGACATCCAGGCCGGGCCCAAAGTTGCCCACTGTTCCCAGCATTCCCTGGGCTACAGATATCCCTGTCTAATGCTTCACCCACTTGAGTGCTCTGAGTAAGCCATTTCCCTAGAGGCTTTTAATATTTTAAAACATTTAATATTTTAAAACGTTGAGCATAATTGCTGCAGTAAACTGCGCTTGTTTAACGCGTACGATTTGGTAAGCTAGGGCAGAGATCATTTACCGCTCTGACCTGTCGCAGTAGGTTTCAGTGGATCGATTTTGCTCCTTGCCGTGGGACATGCTCTAATTCAGACAATTTGTGATGGATTGCCAGACACTGCATGTAACATGGGTAGATGCTGGCTGTTTCTGTGTTACTTAAAACATGCTTGAGCTTTGCTGGATGGTATCATTCAGCTTTCGCCTTTCAGATCTAGCTTTTAGGATTTGTAAGGTGGGCCTGCGGCTAATTATCCCCACAACTGAGGCAGGACCTTCTGTGTACCCTGCCCAGTGTCCATGAATGACAAGCTTTGACACTTGCCTGGTAGGAATGGGTCCTTAGGGGTGGTCCTTCCCTAACTTCTTCGGGTACTCTCTTCACGTGCACCCATGTGCAGCTCTGAACCCTGACCTAAGCCTGTACCTCCCTTCTCTCGGATCTGGCTGCTCTGGTCTCCTTGTGCCTATGTTAGGTGCCTAGGTAGCCCCTTCCCAAGAGAATGCCCTTGACTCCCAGCCAGCACCCTTGTCTGAACTGCATGCCCCCTATTTCCACTGAGTTGATAGCGTGTGGTGTCTGTGCTCCCATAGGGCGTTCAAGGCCCCTTTTAGAAACTGTTTCTCAACTCTACCTTCTTGATTCGGAGAATTAAGTTGAGCAACTCCATCCTGCAGCACTCCCAAGAAACTCCCTCCAGGGGATGAGCTGGGCAACTGTAGGCTTCAACTTGACTGTCCCCACTTCTTAGGACCCATGTAGTTGGTTGCCAGATGTCTGGAGTCTGGAAAGACTATTGTTTCATGTATTTATGTACGAGGGCTATGGAGGGGGGGGCGGGTGGTAAGTCAGAAAGTATTGCTTCAAAACCACAGAAACTTTTATTAAAATAAAATACCAAACTGAGTAACTATTGTATCTCGAGGTACCCTCCATCTAGATCTGCACACTTCACAAAGTGGTGTTTCCTTCTCTGTGTTCTTCGGTGGACACCGTATCCAACAGCACTTTTGGCATCTTTGGAGGATGCAAACAGTGTTTCTTTTCAATGTTCTTTCAGTTTATGGAACAAAAAGTAGTCTGAAAGGTCAAGATTAGGGGGGATGTAGGGAGTTTGGGGTGAGGTTTCCCAATGAAATTCTCCTAGATCAGCCCTTGGTACCCTCCAGGAATGACCAGGTACATTGTCGTGATGGAAAAACATTCTTCAGCATAACTTTCCTGGCCCTTTCCTCTCCAATGCAAAGTTTAATTTTCAGAAAACTTCCTTAATAAACCCCCAGGATTGTCTTGTGTTCTTTGAAAAAAAGTCTAGCAAGAGGTTCCCCCCCCCCACCAAACAGTCCCCATAACCTTGTGAGCTGACCCCTCTGTCTTGAATTTAACTGACCCAACAGATCCCCTCAGAAACCACTGTGTTGATTGGACATTTTTGTGTG